CTCCAGAATGTACGGATGCCCAAGGAGATCTCTATCTTCCTTCAGGCAGAACATGTGACCCATTGGAGAACTGTTGAGCTTTCTGGATATTTTGAACGTCACAATCAGTTCCCCTCGTAGTCTGCGCCTTTTGAGGGAGAACAGGTTTAGTGCGAAAAGCCTTTCTCTGTAGCTTAGCTGCTTTATTCACCATACCATTCTGGTAGCGAGCTTTTGGAATTGCTCCAGTCCCTGGATATTATTACAGATAAATGAGGCCCGCGCTTGAATACAGCATTCAAGTTTTGGACGAACGAAGCCTGCATATAACCGAATGAAGACTTCGTCGCTTCTGTTTTTATGGTGGTTTTGAGACAGAATAATGCTTTGCGGGCCTTTGAAGCTGCTGCGTCGTATGCTGCAAATAGGACGAACTTGCATGTTACTCTAACCCCTAGGTTTGTCGTACTGCTCTTCGACGGTAGGGGTTCCGGGATCCCAGGAGAGTCGGCGACGAAGATTGAAAGACCTGCAACGCTAGAAAGCATGTGGATTTCCAGCGCGTTGAGTAGAAGACCCCATTTGGCTGACAATCAACATATTTTCTGGATGTCAGCTTGGACGGTGTCTAGTAGGCTACTGTTTCTTACCAACTTAACGTCGTCAGCATAGAGGGAACAGGGAGTTTCAAGGCCTGCGGTGATATCGTTCACAAAAATGAGAAAGGGTAGTGGCGCAAGTATGCAGCCTTGAGGCAATTTGCTAGTGGGGAGCCAGCGTCCGAGTGAGCCTCTCGGACTTTGACGGGGAAAGAACGAACGTGAATGAACAGAAGGTAAGCTTGAGATTGGGGCTTTGAGACTTCGAATAAACACGCTAATAAGTAGGAACGAGGTCTAAGTTTACCAATCGAAGCAACAGTTCGGTTCAGTTCCCACAGGAAGGTTTGTGGCTCTTGCCAAATTCGTGTGTTTTCTGAGAGTTTCCTTGGCTTCCGACACTTCGATATGCAATTTTTCTAAAAGGTAGAATGGTGTGGTGCAGTATCACATTCTTGGTTGCTTACTCCGGAGAAAACCGCTATGCAACACTCATCGAGTGCGGTTTTAAACGCATCTACAGTACTGCAGCTTACAACTGCAGGTCAGGGTGGATCCCAGAACGTGCGGCTGTGGCCAGGTACCGTCAAGATTCTGGCACCGATGAGGTGCGATTGTCTTCTCACAGTGCCTCGACAGCGTATCTTATGTATTCGTCGTCGTTCTTCGTCTGCGAAAGAGTAAGGATGTTAGACCATATACTCTGTCAGAAGGACCAGTTATTCGACTTGTGCAGGCTCAGATCGCTAACCGATGTCGCACACTAGCCCTTGTGATCGATCCTTTCAATTAAAAGATTTGGAGAGGGTACCCCATTATTATGTCAAAAGTAGAGCACTATTTAAACGTGAGATTAAAGAGTTAATAGAGTAAAGCAAGAGAAAAGGAAACCAAATAAGTTCGGCGTCCAGAGCGGTCAGGTCAGGTCAGATCAGGTCAGGCCAGGTTGCCCTAGACTGGTGGTAGCCACGGGCCAATCAAGCGTCTAGAATTGCCACGGTGGTGTGCTAACGAGTGTGCATCTACATCTTCAATTAATTGGTTTCTCCGTCTATCTGCAAAAAGAGAGAAAGAGAAACCTTACTTCTCGCCGTGTCGGCGATAGACTTTTAATTTGAAAGCGTTCCATATTGCACAAAATAAATTTTGAACCTAACATTCGTACTTTGTTTAGTACACCTCTTATCCAATGCCATTTTGAAGGCGCGAGTACTAGGCAGGTTGACTAGTTCCTCAGGCAGTCTATTTCACCTCTTTACCATTCTATTGCTGAAGTAGTTGGACCCCACACCCAACATACTCCCTTCCTTCATCAGTTTATCCTCGTGATCCCTGGTACAGGCATACTGGGCATCAGTGACGAATTTCTCTGGTGGAATCCGAGAGAATCCTCTCTTAATTTTAAATGGCTGTATAGAGTTTCTTCTAATTCGCCTTCTTTCTAGCAAAGATAGATTGAGGTCTCTAATCCTGTTTCCTATGATTTACCTCCCCATCTCTCTGCCATTTCTGTAGCTAGTCTCTGCACTTTCTCCAGGCAAACGGAGTCTTTTTGTGCAGACTTGCCCAGGCTTGGACGCAGTATTCTAGATAGGTTTTTTCTATTGCTTTGTACAACAGGACAAAGATTACAGGTCTTTTTCAAGATACAGGCGATCTAAGCCGGATAGGTTTTCCTCTTGCTTTGTGGGCCGCGATTTCAAATTGGCTTTTCCAATTAATGTCCGAAGTCATTTTTAACCGAAGGTCCTTGGCAGTTTCTACCGGTTTGATTTTGAAAACTCCACTCGTTCCAAAAGCTACTTATGAATCTTTTTCCTTGGATAATACTTGACACTTAGCCGCATTCAGTGCCAAATCCCATTTATTTGACCACTCAGTTACACGTTCAGTGCATCTCGCCGGGTTAGCCCTGCAACTCGATCCCACCACCTTCACGTCATCTGCAAAGACAAAATAAGGTGAATTGGTTAATCCCGCTAAGTCATTTCTGAATAAAAGAAAGAGTAACGGTCCGAGAGCCGAACCTTGAGAAACTCCACTGGTCAATCGATTGACCGGAAAACTGGCCTCACCTATCCTCAATGCGAAGGTTCTATTTATGAGGAAATCGGTTAAGCACCTATGCAGATTTCCTTCCATTCCAAAGCTTTTGAGTTTATGAACGAGCAATTTGTGGTTCACGCGTGCAAAATTGTGCAATGTTATTCGCTGTGTCAATATTGTGATATCGCTCGACAGAAAATTCAACAACCTTTCCAACGAGCCTTGATTGAACTTTCTAAATTCAATTTTAAGCATTCTACGGATCCATCTGTGCAGTTCAATACAATCATTGCTGCCACTCGCAGTCGCACTTGTGTCTGTTCCACTGCGGCCAGAAAAGCCGATCAATATTCCCAAAGTAACCTTTGTCATTGTTCTGTGTACTTGTGACCTCCACTGATCCGGACAACCGAACGACCGAGACAACTTCTCTCGCTTCACGTGACCTCTTTTCACATTTTGTCAGTCTCGCCGCTCGATAAAGTGCAGAAATGGGATGTCGCATAGTGTCAACAAGTGCCGCTTCAAGTGTTTCGACGGACTCGGGAGTAGACAGGCCTACGGAGTTGTAAGAAAGAAGTTAAAATGGGGATTTTTTGCACACACTACTCAAAACGCCTTCACCTTTCATGTGCCAAACTCTTGGTAAAACAGGCAAAACAGTTAGCCACTCAGCCAGGACGTATATGGCTTTGTACAGAATGTGCGGAAATGCCGATTGTAAAATGCATCACTTGTATCATACACAAGTACCAGAAGCTATTGCCAGGAGCCGAAGAAAGAGCGAATTCAAAAATCGCCACACTTGTGGCAAAAATAGCAGACTTAAGCTCACGGATCACACCAGCTAGCTCTATCCGGAAACCCAGCAAACGACCGAAATGCCCGAAACACACACACCATGGCAGGGGACGCAGACGGCTGAACTCAGCGTGACAAAAAAGCAACAGTAGAAGCACCTGCTACCACGGAACTCACACACACCCAGTGGCCTCTCTTACCTGCTTCTTCAAAGACAACAGCTCTGCCTACCAGCTCGTCACAGCCAAAAAACTCTCTAACCCCCATAACGCCGACCACTGTTGTGAAAGTTGCCCCTTCGTATGCAGATGTCATTTACACTCCACTTAGAAAAGCAGCTCCTGCAGCTGCACCACAGCGGAAGAACCCGAAAAAGTGGGCAAGGATATCGTCTACTGCATGGGTTGGAGCGTGTACAACGTGCTGCCACTAGACTCGTTGTTTGACTACCCGGGGCTACTGGTCTGTTCCCAATTGTTTATCGACGCCTGTAGTAAGATTATTTTCCTTTCCAACATTATTTCCCTGACTCATGTAAAGACCCTATTTTGTTTTATTGCCCTCCGTTTCGAGAACACAAATGACCGCGAACCTGACACAATTTCCGGTGAGTTGTATCGTGCGCTTTGTTCTCTGTACACCTTCCACTGCAGGTTACATTACACTACATACGCTCGTACCTGACTTTGTTCTCAATTCACACTTGCTCTGGGATTCGTTCGATAAGCCCGATTGATTGGATTCGTAGACACGTGTTGACTTCGGCCCAACTTAGCGTGCTAAATTGTTGAGCCCGAGTTCAGTTACCCCCTTTCTTTTTAGTACGCCACTGTCTGCAAGTTTGGAGTGAGTCCGCTGCCCACACACAGCCATTCTTTTTGTAATTTTTGTCTTTGACGCATACCGGTGTTATTTATTTAATTTATTTTTAACGGTTTTACTCTATTTATTGTCCTTTTCCGCTAAGCCAAATTTTGCTTTCGAACTTCTATAGAAATACGTACACGTATACGTATCCCAGTACTTCAATTTAAACACTGTTTATGGACATTATATTATTTAATCATTGGGGTATACCTCACCAGTACCTTGTTCTTCACTGTCGTTCGGGCATTTTCCTCCCAACTAGCTTGTTCATTTTTCCCCGCATTCACCCCTACGTTATCATGTTCAATCAATATTCTGAGGGTAAAGAGCATAGAGCCATGACAGCGAGTCAAATCGAGCATATTGGGCCTGGAAGTTCGGCTGCCCGAATCTATTCCCGAGGATCCGGGTATCTGGCTGGCCCAAGTGGAGGCCCAGTTTAAGGTGACCAACCAGCTAGCCAAATTTACGCAACTCGTAGTTTAGCTCCCGAGGTCTATGGCCCCCGGTTTACGCGATATAGTATGCAACCCCCACCAGACCGACCTTACGACGCTCTCCGCGATGCGATATTGGGCAGATTCGGGATACCCGTAGTGTGTCGCCTCAAAAAGCTGCTAGGTGGCTTGCTTCTGAGGGACAACGGTCTCGACACCCCGACCAAACTTCCAAGTTATATGCAGTGTCAGGCCGCTAGTTTAAATATCAATGAGAACATACTCCGCCTGTCCTGGTTACAAGCTCTACCAGTGTTTGTCGTCCACATTGCAGTATTTTGGCCAGCAGTACACGCTTACGGAACTAGCCGAGATGGCCGACAGGGTATACGCTGATCAGATGTCGGTCCAATCCTATACACAACCAGCCCCACCGCCGCACTCCACTGACACCGCCGAGCTAGTTGCCTGCGTTAAGGCGTTAGTTGCACAGGTGCAGGCGTTCACTTTGTCTCGCGACCGTCCACGACAACGCCATCGCACGCGCTCCAAACATAGGAGCCGCATCCCCGGCGCCCACGATTTCGATCACCGTCGAACGGGATTTGCTGGTATCACCGCCGATACGGTGATGGCGCAAAGAAGTGTCTCACACCGTGCACATATACCCCCAGGTCGGGAAACCAGTAAGCCGATCGGCCCAGGCAACGACTGTATCCGGCTCGCCACAACCAAGTCGCCTGTTTTTCGTCACCGACCGAATTACCGGGATACGTTTCCTGGTTGACACAGGCGCACAGGTCAGCGTCATGCGCCCCCGTCCCGCTGACCTCCATCGTCTCTCTACCGTAGAACTGTCACTGCGAACCGCACACTCACCAAAACCTACGGTGAGCGTTCACTCACACTGAACCTCGGTATTCGCCGTAGTTTAACCTGGGCGTTCAACTCAAGATAGCCTGTGCTGAATTTCAGCACATGCTGGATCTCGGCATCATCTGCCCATCCTCCAGCCCTTGGGCTTCACCATTACATATGGTCCCCAAGAATTCCTCTGGCGACTGGAGGCCGTGTGGCGACTACCGCGCTTCCAACAGCGTCACCACACCAGATCGCTACCCTATCCCTCGCATCCAAGACCTGACGGCTAGTTTAGGGGGAGATAAGGTATTTGGCAAAATCGATCTGGTACGCGCGCATCACCAAATTCTAATGTACCCCGAGGACATCCCCAAGACCGCGGTGACCACACCGTTGGGTCTTTTCGCATTCCTGCGCATGCCTTTTGGTCTGCACAACGCCGCTGAAACGTTTCAATGCTTCAACGATCAAGTTTGCCAAAGTTTAGACAACACCTTCGCCTACCTGGATGACGTTTTCGTAGCCAGAGCCACTCCTGAGGAGCACGAGCAGCATCTGCGTGCCCTCGTTCTGCGTCTCCATCAACACGGCGTTACCATAAACGCCGTTAAATGCTCTTTCAGCGAGTCGAGTGTCACCTACTTAGGTCATCGCTTCTTTGAAGCTGGCGTCGCCCCACTGGAGGATAAGGTACTAGCCGTTTCCAAGTATCCGGAACCTACGTCGCTCAAGCAGCTCTGACGATTACAGGGGCTAGTAAACTTCTACCGGCGTTTCATCCCAAACTGCTCCACCCTTATGCAACCTCTGACAGATCTCTTGCGCGGCAATCCTAAGCACTTTACGTTCACCGACAGCGCGCGCGCAGCATTTAACGGCCTGAAACAAGCCATCTTCAACATGGCTGCTGTCTCACATTACGTTCCGGGAGCCCCTCTAGCGCTCATCACCGATGCATCCGACGTAGCGGTAGGGGCGCTCTTGCAGCAGCAGTTCGACACCTGGAAAACCGCTCGCTTTCTTCTCGAAGCGGTTGCAACCTTCTGAATCCCGATATAGCAGTTTTAGTCGCGAGCTGCTCGCCATCTACCTCGCGATACGGCACTTCCGACACATGCTCGAAGGCCATTCCTTCGTGATCTTCTTCGACCACAAGCCCCTCGTCTATTCCACCCTCTCAACCTCCGACAGGTACTCTCCCAGAGAGGCTCGTCACCTGGACTATATCACTCAGTTCAATTAGGATATCCGACGTCTCAGGTGAGCACAACCCTGTCACCGATGCCTTGTCCCGCAACCATCTCATCATCCCTCATGATAATGTAGACCTGTCGAAAATTGCCGAGGCACAGACATCCAACTCTGAGCTGGAGACTCTTAAGAGTAAAAGCTCCCTAAAGCTGCAGCTGGCCCCCCTCACCACTTCCAACGGTAGCATCTGGTGCGTTTGTTGTACAGGCACTCCCCGCCCAGTGGTGCCACAACCCTTTAGGAAGCAGGTCTTCAATACCTTGTACAACTTGTCGCACCCCGGTATCCGTGCTTCGGTAAAGTTAGTCGCTCAACGCCTCGTCGGGCCCAAAATGAATCGCGACGTAGCTACTTGGCCGTGCACGTGTTTAGAGTACAAACGGAATAAGGTTCATTGTCACACTAGGACCCCCCTAGATGTTTTCAACTCTCCGACTGCACGTTTCCAACACGTGAACGTCGATCTGGTAGGCCCCCTGCTGCCTTCTGGAGGTTTCACATACCTCTTGACCTGCATAGAACGCTTTTCGCGTTGGTACGAGGCGATCCCACTCCCAAACTGCTCCGCTGATGCCGCTGCCAAGGCGTTCCTGGAGCGTTGGGCTGCTACCTACGGATGCCCCGTGACTGTTACTGCTGATAGAGGTTCCCATTTTGAGGGAGTTTTCCAATTCCTACTTAATACACTAGGTTGTACTCACGAAGACCATTTTACCAATGACATTTTTCTGTACTGAATATTTCATCCCATTGGTTTTCTTCAGTAAACTAACCTCTGTTTCTATGACACCTTATCTGCTTCTGGGAGAAAATCAACCTACAGTTACTAATGTGATTCTTTGCTTCAGTTGCAACCGTGATTCCTGATCCGTAATCCCTACTTAATTCGATTACTAACTTTCTATCCTCTTATGAGCGATGTGAAACCGTGTCGACTGATACTACGTGGATAATTTTTTTGTACTAATAGTGCAAGTTGCAGTCTTCGAAATGGTAATCGGATAGTGTGAACTCGGATGTGGATTAAGACCAAGGTGACCAAGACAAGCAGTTGCTTCCATTCGACAGATTATGCAGATAAGTATCACAAGCGTCAAACAATCGTTGTTTTACTCATCAATGTCAGTGCTCGTTTGTTTGCTTTCTTGCATTAAGTTAATCCAATTGACTTTATCCGAGATCACACAATTGGTCGGGAAATCTGTGGCTCAATCGGGTACCTTAAAGCTATATCGCGGTAAGTGAGTAATCCTTACACGATCACCACAGCGTCCTGCCCCAAAGAATTCCTTGTCAATTTGACATGTTTTGCCCAGTGATCTCCTAAGCGTTGCACTGGTTGAGGCTTCTGATTATGCCGATCGAACGGTCAAGAACTGCAAAGCGCGCCTACACAAGCAGACGTCAAGACTGAAGAGCTGGGTTCTATGATCAGAAAGCTACAACCCTTGGCAACGAGTACACACCGGCTTATATGTGGGCCGTTCCTCGTCCGTTATCATGTACTGGTGCTCATCAATTCGTACTCAAGTGATCAGAGGTGTTTCTAACCAGTACACCCTTGTATATACGACTTAGAGTCGAAAAGAAGTTCCACATGTTTTGTTGATCAAAGATGGATCACAGTCGTGTGCTGCAGAGATAAAAACGTGGCTGGACAGTATTGATTGCCGACATCTGCACAGAGCACCACGTAAATCCTGTTCAAACGGCGCAGCGAAAAAATTGCTAAAACCGTTGAACAGCACCAATGCACCTGCTAGTTTGAAAACAATCTCAGAGTTGGTAGCACTCCTGGACAACTTTTTGTTGCTATACCAAAATGCGGTACATGCCACCGCCACAGAGAATCCAGCGAGACTATTCGAAACAAGATGTTTACGATCCTCATTACAACGACTTGATTCGGGTGACGTCCTGTACTTCGAGGGAAACAACCTGAGATCAGCAAGACGAATCGTCACCAAAACGGCTGGCCCGGATTCCAAGTGAAAATCGACGGAATAGATCAAAATCAGGTTGAACCAATACGAGCAATTAATTCCATTCGGAAGATCATGCAGATAAATATTGCAAGCGTCAAATAGCCGTTGGTGCATTGTTCAGTGTCTAATCGACAACAATATCGATCATTTGGTTGCTTTCCTGTATTCAGTCAAGCCAATTGATCCCACTCGAGATCACAGGATTGTTTAGGAAATACGTTTTCTAATTGGCTACCTCAGAGCTATTTCGCGGAGAGTGTGAAATCGTTACACGATGAACAAAACATCCGTGCTCTCAAGTGTGTTCATGGTAAATTTCACTTGCTTTGCGCCGTGATCTTCTTAGCGTTGCACTGGGGAACCATGGCATCGGAGACGGAGACGGTTCCAAATTGCTAGAGTTGTCCAATTCTTCATGGGGCTCTGAGGCACCGATAGTTCGCTTGTCTCTGGAATGTGTCCGTTCTAACATTCCGTCTATGGATAGATGTATCTGGGGCACAGGTCGTTGCCCCTGAAGTGTGTCACATTGGTAGAATCCGTACATCGGAGAGAAAACCTATAACAATATAACTTAACCAGATTTACAGGATTTTCCGTGGTTGTCGCATGTGTGGCGTTTCGGGAGTACCGTAAAAATTATGCAGAAAAGCCTCCGCGTCTTGTATTGAATTCGGATACGCGATGCCGGTACACTTTGCACTGTTTACAATAGATACACATCTGGACCACGAAAACAGGGATTTCGTGGTGCTCTCTGAAAATATCAACATCTAAATCTATCAAGCCAAACTTTTATCTCTGTGGCACCGAACGAGTAGGATAAAGAACTGTATAGTCGTCAGAGCTATGCACTCACTCATTCTGTTGTACTTCATTCGAAGGAGCTATCTGCGTACTTTTTGATTCAATTATGTTAATAAATCATTGGAAATTTTAAAATTTTGACATCCGCGTGAGTGATCATACATATTTTTATTATGATTTTCAAAATATTCTGTGAAAATCCTATGGGATATGATCAGCTTTAGCTCTATGAAATGGTCCGTAACAAAACTTTGAATTGACTTTTAATTTGAAACATCCAACTCGAACACCGGATTTTATCCGAGCTACTCGATTCAGGTAGTTTGGGTCCATACGTAGCAAATTGCGCTTCTCCCTCTCCAAGAACGTTTTCTGGCACCCATTCCGCTTCTGCATATGTTATATTTTACCCATTGTTCTTTTCGATGTATGTTAAACAATTTCCCATTCCTCCTGCATTCAATGGCTGTTTTAGGTTGCAAAGCATCCACCCCGGACGAGGCTTCAGAAATTTAAAGCAAGCTAAACGACGTTCTTGCTTGGTCGCTGTCACATGCCCCCTATCATTGAATACCTCTAAATGCCAGGACGTTGTGTTTTCCCTCTTGGCTTACGTACCATATTCAGCCCTCACAGATAGGTTCCCCACCCTCTCTGTCAATCAACAACCCGTACGGAATCAACAATAGTGAAACACCTTGGCGTCACCTTATCACACAATTTATCATGGTCACTGCATGTTCAAAACATTTTGTAAAGTTAGAAAACTTTCATATTTCTCACTCCAATTGAGAATACTTTCTAGTTCCCATAAGCTGATTGTTAGATTTGTGAATACATGCGTGCTACCCCACTGGTTGTATTGTTCTCCAATAATTTTTCC